AAAGGAAAGGAAAGGAAAGGAAAGGAAAGGAAAGGAAAGGAAAGGAAAGGAAAGGAAAGGAAAGGAAAGGAAAGGAAAGGAAAGGAAAGGAAAGGCTTCTCATTTCCTAACAGAATCTTAATTTTATTTTCTGCAGAAGCACTTTGTGGATATCATATGGAAGTAAATTAGAAGAAAAATGCTACTGAAGTTCACTGAGTAGAATCAAGAGTATTTTTAGCAAGAGCTGATCCCTGGTGAAATCCCTATCAATGCATTCAGCTGCAAAAGTTTGGGTACTCCAGGTTGGAGAAGCAATGCTTGAAGGACTGTGTACCAGTTCCAGCAGAATGATCAGAAATAAGAATGCAGCTGTATTTCTAAATAGAGGAAAAACATAGTCTGCCAGTCTTCCAGCAGCACTCAGACTGAAATCAGAGGCACATAAAAGTGTGGCCCACAGCTAAAAGCAGACATCAGTAGCATCAGTGCTACACTGAAACATTACAAATAAACTGTTTCTTTTATGTCTGCTTCTTTCTTTTTGGAATGACACTTAGTCTTTTGCACAGAAACACGGTTTCACTAACTCAATCTGGAGTTAAAGTTGGCCTTTAGGGGTTTTACCAGTCAAAGAATTTACCATCAAAATAAAAAATCTATTTGAGCACAAGATCACATTTTTTTCTGTGCTCAGTTTCCCAGGAATAGATTGAATTCTTGTTTGGAAGTCAATACACTCAGATTCTATGTAATTTTTGTATCAGAAAAAGTTTTTTTGACCCCATAATCATGTCCAGACTGTTTTAGTATAGTGACTGCTGTCATTCCTAGTGGTCCATCTCTTTCAGCTACTATCCATGACTTTATTTACATATCTATCACTCTCTTTTATGATTACCTAATACAGATGTGACAAACAAATGATCAGACTTACTTTGCTTGTCGCTTTTCATCAGCCTGGGCCAGATTAGCCACATAACCTTCCAGGTAAGTTTGCAGCTCCTCATAAGTTCCAACTGTTTGATTAAATGTCCTAAAAAACACCAGTTAAACAACATAAACTGACAAGAACGGGCCACAGGAATCTCTGACCCATGAGAGTAGGATAAACATCACCTCTACAAGGAGGGAAAGAAAAGAGTAACTCTGAATTACTCTTAAGCTTCTGCCCTCTGGCACCTACTGTCAGCCTCTCTTCATTAGTATCCCTAAAGCACAACCTCTTGTTCAGGATTCATTTAAAGAAACATTGTGGTTTTGCCTACAGTGAAGTCACATTTACCCACTGAAAGTCACGTTTACCTAYAGAAAGAGGATGCAAATCTTTACTGACTTACTCTCTGTCTATGACGAGACACTCCACGTTGTATTCATCTGCAATAACGTTTGCTGATCTGACATCRTCACTGAGAATTGAAACACATTAGGAGAATTCAGAAACACAGCAAAACCGTCAAAATACCTCACACTGCACTCAGGGAGGGTCACAGATTCTCTGGGTGAAACTCCTCAAAGGCCTCTGCAGCCTGYCCCTGGATTAGTGCTGCTGAACCAAGTACAAAATTAGAGCATTTTATTAGTCATTATTATTGTCTAGTACTGTACTTTTTCCAGTTTCAGTGGGGTTTGGAACATGACATCCTTTAGCAACCTTCCAATAAACTCAGGTGAGGTATAATTAGCACTGCATCAGGATTTACTATGTATTTCTGAAATGATSCTTGKATAGAAAAGATTCCCAAACCCAAAYGATTCCCTACTCAATCATCCACGTAAATATGCATTGTGTGACTCGTTCTCTCTATTTCTTACTGCTGTGGGCAATGGAAACAAGAGCTCATTCCAGCCATGATGGAGCTTATCCATTCTGAAATCTCATCACAGTTTTTATTGAAGTGTAAACAATATGACACAAYGCAGAGGGCCAGAATGTGACTTGTACAGGGAAAACCAAAGGTAGATGCCYGTGTATATTTTCAAATTCTCTCTGCAACCCCTCAAAACATTAACACAAATTCAGTCACTGCCTTCATCTGCTCACTTTACCATCAAAAGAAAGATTATGTCCAAACCAGCCATGAGTTGTAGAATCTGACATATGGTGATGGAGCAATTGAAATCCTATGCAAAAATTACATCCAAACCAGCCATGAGTTGTAGAATCTGACACACGGTGATGGAGCAATTGAAATCCTACACATCATGAATCAGACAGTGTGAACTAACCTAATGAGAGCCTTTTCTCCAAAGTAATCTCCTTTGTGTAGGTTTTTGATCACCTGAGGCTGTGAGTGGTCTGCTCTACTCTGGGTAACTATCACCTGCAAAGTACAGGAACAAAAACTTAGTAAGATAAAGTTTCAAAGTATTGCATGGTTTTCTTTATTTTCTGTGTGTTTCAGAAATGTCTTAAACTCAATAATGCTGCAGAGGGAGTTACAACTATATGTAGTTACCCTATCCTTTCAAAAATTAAACCCAAACATTCCCTGATACCTCTCTGATTTTTGCTAAGAAGGAATATATTCATTATTGCCACCCCCTCAGCATTTTCTCSTCATACCTTTTGAAACAGGGCAGAATAAGTCACATTTTAATGAAAGCTGATCAGATCCCACAGTGGGCAGATGTCATATGAGCTTTTTGTCTTCTCAGCTAAATAGACAACACTCCAGAAGCATCAACTAACATTTCCCCTCATGAAACCCTGCTTCCACAGCAGCATATTCTGCTGACGCCCATGTTAGCAAAAACCAAACTAGAATATCTACASACATTGTAGATGTTTTAGAAACCCTACCGGAGGTTCATTGAGGAAAATTCTCCTGATTTAATCCTTGAGAGTCCTGTGTCAGCCTCCAAGGTATCAGCTGAGGGATAAAGGCTGCTGCCTTGCCCCCCTGGGACTAAAAAATGAAAGGATTCTGAGACACCTCAAAGGCCATTCTCCATTAAGCCTGGGACTCTGTTACTCCTTACATTTTTCACAAGTTTATGGTTTGACCATCAAATATTGCACTATGTAGGAGAATATGCAGGATCAAATCTCATTTACAAAAAAAATTGACTTTATATCTCTGCCACAGTGTCAAGAGGCTTCAGGGCACAATTCAATTACATTATAAATAAAACAGTATAACATGGGTCAATTGTGAATGGAAAACTAGGCTCCCTGAACCTCTGAAACACTGCTCCAGGCTTTTATCACAGTACTGTGAACTTAACAGCATGTGCAAAAACACCCTACATAGTTTTTACTGAAGACCACACCCCTCAAGGTAGCTTTTGAAATACAGGTGTTTGTACATGTTACTTTATAAGTCAGGTTTTTTATACCTCACCTTTCCTTTTGCTATTATAAAGAAGGTATTTCCTTCTTCTCCTTCCCGAATAATGTAATCACCCTTGTCATAGTACTCCTGTTGGGGGGGCAAGTGAGAGAAAATATTGCCAATAAATCACTGAAAGGTTACTCTGCAGAGTTCTTAACACAAGTGAATGTTCCATTGATGTTTAACTTCCTATATCCTTCATACCTCCATGCATAAAGAATAAATATGTACCACTGCCCTTGGAAAAAAATCCCAGCTGTCATTGTATATCAAGCCTTTACCTTCAAAGGCTGCTRGCAAATGCAGCCCTAGGACACAGAGATATTTGGCTGTATTCATGTGCTGGGGACCTAATGCCTTCTTCCCTTACATTTTGCAGTGTATGTGGTCCAAGGAACATGAAAGWATTACACAGCCACATCACAAAGAGCCTGAAGAGAATCTTTGTTCTGAATAAAGGACAGATCATAAATCCTCTTATCTACTTGCTTTACTCCTTTGATGTCAAAAATACAACTTTTATGCCACTAAATATTGCTATTTTCTGCCAAGCTTGAATTCAATGCTGATCACTCCAAAACCACTCTCATATTTTATTAAAAAGGTTGATTGTTTTGTATCTTTGCTCATTTATTCTTCTTTATTGTTTTGAAAGTTTACTGAATACTATTTAGAAAAGCTTAAAAACATCTTACCACTTCCAAGCAGTCCATGATCTTGGTTAATTTATCTTCAGGTAAGTTTTTCAGCAGGGACACACTTCCAGAAAACAGAAATGCAAAACAAACAAACAAACAAAGTCCCACAACCCAAAGTAGTTTCCATTAAAATATTTTTCATGATCTCTTCTCATCTATACAGTTTTTACAGGCACATTTTATAACTGTGAAAACTGGTGGTGAACACAATATATAACTAAATCTTAACTTGGAAGATTCAACCATTCTCATATTGGTTTTGAGTTAAATACAACTCACGCAACTTAGAAATGTGGCAAACATTRGTCAGTTTGTAAATCTACTTTGTATTTCAGGAGGGGAAGGACTTTGATGGGCATATRGATTGATTTCAAAATAATCCAGCAACTGCAAACCCAGAACATTATATCAATTCAAGAACATATTTTCAAACGCATTGCAGAGACTGGAGAATGAAAGGTGACAAATTCAGTACTCTTTGGGCAACTATTGAAAGAGAATCCAATCACAGTAAAAACTCAGTGAACTTGGTGGTTAGAAGGAAAAAAAACACTCCCACCGTGATCACTCAGATTTGTAGAAGTTAGGAAATGACAGAAATTTCCATCTATTCAGGCTCAGTAAAGAAGTGTCTATAGAAATCAAAGTTGGAGAGGGCTGTGAAATTACACAATACATTCTATGCGTGGCCAGGCTTGACATCATGATTTGAAAACATAAAAGAATGGTCATTCCCTGTTAAAAGATAAAATATTACATCAGCTAATTATGGTTTGGAACCTCTAACTTCACCTTCTTCCTAAGGAGAAACATGKCACCAACTGTCAGTGTCCTTGCAGGAGGGAATTACCCTGCTCTGCAGATTTCCTAGTAATTTATGTTGGAAATAGTTCATAAGTTGAGAGATGGGCAGATCTCATATTCAAGTCTCTAAAAGATAAGGGATATTCTTTAATCTAGTCCAGCAGCAAACTAACTATTAGTTGGAGGATTTACTTAATTCTAATGATAAATTACATTGTTTTAACTTCCAGACCAGTAACTTTCCTATACATTTATTCTACTATTTAAAGACATTCAAGCACCTATTGAAGTTTTCTAATGTGATGCAGGAGAAAAACAATTAAAATGGAAAATTGCTCTTACAAATCTTAAAACAAAATTTTTAAAAAGCCAAATATTTAGTCTTTTGAGGCCACATTTTCATTAAGAGCACCTTTTCCTCTCTTTTTATRAGACAGGGACAGTATTGCTGTGCCCCTCAGTAAGTAGCACAAATCAGTGTTAGCAATAGAAATTCATGGTATTTACCTTCTGAGGAAGTTTCTGTATTGCTCTTGTCTGGTTTGTGCTGTCACTCTCATGATATTTTGGAACACTTCTCTGTCCAGTGCCCATGTTTTAACATTAGTGATTGCTTTGAGAAAACAGAAAGTAAGAACAAAATCAGAAAGGTTTCCAGATTGTTTGATGGATAATATGATAGCATCAGGTCATGGTACAAGGCAAATCACCTTTTTCACAAGGCCCAAGGCCAGCTTTTAAAATATCCAGAACCTGTTATAATCAGACTTTCAAAAGAATTCAACCCCTACTTCAAAAAGGAATAGATTTCCAAATTATTCCTTTGTGGAGCATTTTCCACAAAATTCCACAGGCTGAACAACCTTGAAAATGACAGGGCTGAACACTTGGGGAGATCTGCTCTAATCACAGACAATAATTGTACTCAAAAGCTGCAATCTCCAAAGGAGTTGATTTGAAAGAAACAAAAACTTGGCTGATTTTCAAAAATCTATGATATTGAATACTGTGGCTTGGATTTAACTCTAATTCAGATTACATGCAAATGCTTGTTAGATATACATTAAGATAGAAATAACAGGTCAAGAAATAAGTTTAATTTCCTTTAATCCTGTACTTCACAGGCTTTTCCTCCAACTTATCCATTTTATTAGTCAACAAATGTAATCAAAACATAAATTATTTCCTTTAAAAAGAGAATCAAAATAATAATGTAATAATCAGGCACAAAATTCAGCATTAAAAATGCAAACCACTAAGGAGCCTCCCTGTGGAATCATTGACACAACATAACACATTGCATTTCTTATTTTTTTAAGCAAAATGTGATTCCATTAAACTGAATCTTTTATTTTAAAAGATGCTACATCATATTCAGCAGTTTTCCTTCTGCCATAAGAAAGAAAAAAACTGTTTTCTGTGAGATAAAATATACAGAAAAATTTAGAGCAATTGATTTCCTCCATTTTTGATCAACAGAGAATCATTTTTACAKGGAAGAAAAATGCCAGGTTTAAAATGAAGCATGGTCATTCGTGATTGTACACAATATATACATATGCTCTGCCATCTATCAAAATATTTTTTTTTAAAAGTTAGATGCTGGATGGGAAAAAATGGTGTTGCTTCAGTTTTATTTTTCTCCTAGATAAAATCTTTCTATTTATTTTGCATGAAGAAAACAGGGGAAGTATCCAGGCTATTGCAAATGTATTTCTTGTATCTTGCATCTTAACTAAATGAAGCAGTTAAAGAGTTGGAAAAATGCCTGCAATCTGAAAGATGAGATTAAAAAAAAAAAAGAAATTCAGAAAAACAGGGGCAAATCACATTACCAATTTCAAACACAGCTACTACCTGTGAAGATGCTGAGAAGCAGCAGCCACTGAAATGCTGTTGGGATGAAATCCTTCACTTGTGAGTTTTCAGTGACTGCCCCAGAAGGGTGACAGGAGATCCAGCATCAAGAAAGGGTTTCACATGTGTATTTGCTATTCATGCTTAGTTATGGCATTGCACTGCTCTTCCTCCACAACAAGGACCCTGGGAAAGCTACTGGGGAGGGGTGGCTTTCTGCAGTAATTTCAAGTATTCAAATACCTTCTCTTGTCCATAATTGGACAGTTCTGGTTCTACCTCAAAACCGATTAGTGTAAATAAAGGTCTAAAGCAGCTTGACATCTTATTATGGAGAAACACTACTTTATAATGCTAATACTATACACCAGGCAAAAAAGAAAAATAGGGAGCATATTCAATTAGAACAGCATGCTAGTAAGAAAAATAATCAGATTAYGATGCTGTTCTGTTTATCAGGCAGCAACAAAAACAGATTACATGTAATAACTTCCATCTGCACAGCCAGCCATGATTAAGTGCCTTAACTGGGTGCAGGAGGAAAGACCAAAAGCCTTTACAGCAACAACTTCTTGTTTTATTCCATTTGCTCCTGTTTAAGTCAACATGAACTCTTCAAACTTACTGGTGGCACAAAGTCCTTGCAGATTTAGACAAGAACAGAAATTAGTCTTCAAACACAAGTAATATTTATGGGATGGTGGAGAGTGGAAAAATGATTAACTTAATTATATTTAATCACTTACTTGTTTGTCACAGAGCACTTAGAGAATGTTGGAAAGGGAATTAGGGGCTATTTGATGGATGAATACCCAGCGTTATGCAGGAATAGAGATATTTGTATCAGAGCAACACTTCACAACTTCATCCTGCTAGTCTTGAAACTGCCAGATCCGAATGGATCTAGGCAAAACTCAGCAACATAATGATGGCACAGAACTAAAAGAAGTACAAAARCAACAAATTGCTGCATATTTTATTTCCTCTTGAATAAGACTTTACCTGCTCTACTGAAAACACCATGGTTGTAACATGCTTTTAATTTCACTGTAATTTCATACTCAGGGATGCATTTGACACAAGAACATAAGAGCCAAAGACCATCACCTCTACTAAAGCATCCAAAATTAAAATATACTCCTCCCCTAGTAGTTAGTATGCTACAGATCAGGCTAGCTTGATTTTGGAGGTGCCTAATTGTTTGTCAAGTGTTATTCCAGAGATGGAATTATATTTGTGGCACTGTATGATTTGAGTTCCCAAGCAGAAAGAACTCAGCGAAGGAATATGTGGTCTTACTGTCGGTAACCAAGACATGCAAACATCTATTAAATGAAAACTTCAAAGGAAACCTGGGTATAACAGGGATCTCACAAAAAAGTCTGCAGTTTTTGTTTTGAGCAGCAAATAAGCTCAGGTACCTTTCACAGAAGCTGTCCGTGTGCAGTTGTATAAAATGGCCAGTTCACCAAAYGCTGTCCACACAGGTATTGAGGAGAGCAGTTTATTCTGCTGAAAGACTTCCAGACTGCCCTCTGTCAAAAATCATCAGGATAATAGATATTAAACCTGTGCTGAGCTGCACAGAGTGAATGGAAAACAAATCAATTTATTCCTGACTTTGCCGCTCCCTGGAACACAGAAATGGGAACAACGATGCAAACAGTGCTTGTAAACACACACATGAACCAGTAAAGATTTATTTTATAAAATGCACTGCTGACCTACAGATCTGGTCTGGAAGGGAGCGCCATGCTAAATCCTGATGGGATAAACCCTTCCTACAACAAGCCACCCACCAGTGGTTCAGATACTCTAGTGTGGCATAAACAAAAAAGGCTTAAAATAAAGATCACAGGAGAAATTACTCATGGTTTGTCCGCTCATACACATGTGTGAGTACATWTGTGCAGAATGCAAAGGAGAGGACAGAAAAATTAAAAGCACATGAAATCTTCCCTCCAGAAGTTTTTCTTGTGTCTTATTAGCAAAAATCAAAGGAAGCCTGAATTTCTTCACARATTATGCCCCCCTAAAATCTTCCCTTAAAGAAGTTATGAAAGTTCTGCCCTCTTCTCTCCAAGGTACACACCTCCTCCTCAAGAAAATCTAATGCACCAGAAAAAGTTTCAAGTGTACATCTGCTTTCTCATATTTCATCTGTTTTCAAAATGTTATCATTTTGTCTTGCAAGAATATGACCACCCCATCACAAATCTGGCCTCCTCTTTTCTCCTGGAACATTTAAGTTTTCCCTAACACAGTTACCATCATTTTTTCCAACTAAACCATCCATATGCAGCCAGAAGGTGAGCTTTCCAACATATACCAGTTTGCTACTGTTTAAGTATTCCTGCCTCAACAGAACATATTCCTTACAGTATGAGCTCTTATGCACTGAGAGTCTCTGGAACACTTAGTGATCCAAAATTGATGAAATATACAAATTACTCACAAATACACTTTTTTTTTTTTTTTTTTAAAATGGTGAGATGATCTTTCTATTTGCTGATAGAAGCAAATTCTGGGTGTTAAACTTGAGGTCCATTACAGGTGATCTGCAATTTATGACTACAGACTTTTAGCAAAGGTTTATTCCATCAGGCATTATTTTAGGCAAGTCTTTTATCCTAAAGCTTTTTGTTTCTTTGTTGCTTGGTTTTTCCTTTTTTTTCCCCAGAAAAAAACACAAGCAGGCCTTTTTTAAAGAAAGACCAACCTCTCAGCTTTGAAAACAATTAATGCAGACCTCATCTTACAATTTCCCATACACAGAAACTGGTATCTTGTGAATGTTGAAAAGAAAGTTTATTTCAGGAGTGGCTTCCCCGCTGAGCAGTTCTCTGCATTTTAGATAATATCTGTTCTTCCTCTGGAGAAGAAAGGGCTGGCTACACTTACAACAGAAAGGAATTGCTGGCCTCTGGRCTTTCAGAAATGAAAAAGGTCATGAAAATCAAGACTCACATTTCCAAGGTACTTTTTTCTTGCTCTCTTTCTTTCTTTGTAAAAGTCCCAGGTAAAACTTGCATTGCCCTCTGCAGGGATAAATTATTTAGGAGCACAAACAGCATCACGGTCATTTTGTGCAGAAGCTTCTAAACCCTTTCCTGTTTCTTGCCCTTGTGTGTTTTACAAGTAAGCAATACTCACCTTTGAGCACAAAGATGTGTGTGSCTGGTTCTCCCTGTCTGATGACGTAGCTGCCTTGCTGAAATGTCCTCTCATACATACATTCCACCATGTCTCGGGTCTGGTGAGGCTCCAGTCTCTTCAAGAACTGGTTTTTATTCAGGGCATCTGTGATAAGCTTCTTCTCACTGATTTCAAACAAAAACCCACAAGGTTTGAAATTCTGCCTTTAAGTCCCCATGCTCCTAATGTTGACAAAGTCAAAACCCTGACAGATTTCAGAGGCATTTAGGGCCTCCTCTTGTTTGTATTCATAAAACAATGCAAGGTTGTCATCAAAACTAGGTTATGTGGGAAAAATTCCCTGAGGACAATCCAGGAATGAACAAAACCTACAGCAAGTAAATGCACTTACATTGTTAATAGCCATGTAATGACWGAAAATAAGTAAAGGCAATGAGATGAGGCAGGAAAATAAACCCAAGTAGCTATGGTGAGGACGGTGTTTAGAAATAGAGATCATAACTTAACTTCTGCTGAAAGCAACAGGGTTATTGGAATTTAAGCTCTAACTTGGTTTTCAGCTAAAACCAACCTTGCTAATTTGATTCACCCTGGCCTACATCATGCATGAAATATTGCAGCAAAATACAATAATTGCATATAACCTGATACATAAAATGTGCACAAAAGCTTCCAGAACTATAAGAGGCTATGCTTCTGAAACTTCCATTAAAATAATTTGTGTTGAGATGCTCTGAACAGAGGTATGCACTCAAACCACTGGTATACGCATACCATAAAATTGCACCCTTTGTTTTCCAAATATTTCTAAAAGGGAYTGGTGGCTCTCTGTAGCTTCTCCTYCTTCTGAGATAGCTCCTTTCACAACTGTGCAGCCACCCTGTTTTGATTCTAGCTGCTGCACTTTTCTCATCCACTGGCTCTGCTCCTGGCTTTACCCCTCACTGCTTTCACAATTCTGTCTCTGGAAGAACCCTAGCAAACCATGTGGTGGACTGCAGTGCAAGGACTGTGCCAAGGAGAAGACAGGTTACAAACAGAAGGCTCCTGAAACAATGATTTAAGCTACCCAGGTACTTGAGATAAAATATTAATGCAGTTCCCTTACTCTGGAAAAACACTGCTAGCTGAAGTTCTCAGCTCTTCATGGTGACTCAGGCAGCCTTTCTGATTCATGAGGCACCCTCTCAGGTGCAGTGTTGGACATGATGGATGAGTAAACAAGTCTCATAACTCTCAGGTCTACTATGGTACAAACTCAGATATGCCAWGAGTATAAAGCAAAATAAATTTGGCTCCCAACAAATCTGAGGCATTTAAGTGGCTGGCTGAAGTCCAGGTAGAGTCTCAGGTTATGTCTACACTGCAAGGTGAAAGAAGTTCTTAAGGATACCACTCTGATACCTCTGATTGSAAAGTCAGCTGTGACCACAGGTATCTCTGGATCTTTCAGAGTGTAGAAAATATTATTGGATTCACAGTTCCTGCACTGTGACTCTCAGAAGCTGGAGGGCAGAAGGAAGCTGGCAGTAAAGAAAAATYCCAAAGAAACTGTAGGATTTCTCATCTGAAATACAGAGGCTCTCTTMATCTGAAGTCTGTGGGACACATAATTCTTGGTTAAAGTTACACGCAAATTGAACCAGCATCTATCACAGCTGCAAAGCCTAAATGAAAAAGATAAATACTTGAATCCTGATTTGTCATGAGGAGAGGATAYAATTGTGATAAAAGTTATAATCTTGTAACACAAACAGAGAAGGCCTCTGAAATGAGCTCACCTGGAATCCTTTCGGACTGTAGCTTTTTCAAGRGAAAACACAGTTTGCCTGCTCAGATCACAGAGTCGTGTTGTTGGCTCTGCAGACACACCTTCCTTGGCTCCTCTCCTCCTATCAGCAGAAACTTGAAATGGAGAAGGCTGAAGAGAGTGCTCTCCTTGAGTGCTAACAACATCCTGCAGCTTGTTCAGCTGTATACACTTGTTCTGAAGCTCCTTGGTGAGCTCTGCTATGACCTTAGTCTGCATAGCCAGCTGTTCCTGAAGCTCAGCAACATGGCTTTGACTCTCTTGCAGCTGCTGATCTTTTCTCCTCAGCTCCTTTTCCAGTTCRAGTACCTTGCTGCAGAGAACATCAGCCTGCCCATTGATCACATTGATGCCTATGCATGGGTCCATCAAAAACTTATGGCTGGCAGCACAGCCAATAGCGAGGTTTGCTACATGCCTGTTTGGCTGCCTCAGGTGCTTGGGTTTCACTAATCCATTCCCCATTTTGTCCAGAGACCTAGGGGAGAAAAAAAAAAGCTGCAGTTTTATTTCATTCCCCAAGAAGAGAAAATAAAATAAAATCATTGAATTGTGAGCAGCGGATTCAGTAATTAACTGGCAGCTGAAATTGCCATATGCAACTGTAGTAAACACAGCTGATTGCTTTCATCCTCTTCAGTCCTGCRAGTCAGCAGAATAAAGGGCAAAGAGAAGAGGCAGGGAGGGGTGTTAGAAACAAAGCCAAAGATCTCCTGGCTATTACTTATTTTTTTGTGAGTTGAAGGGATGTGTAAGCTCCTGTCAGCCTAACAAAGACAAAGCAAGCAGCAGGAAGGAAGCAAGCTTGCACTTGACTGCTGAAGCAAGAAAATAGTTAGAAGCAAAAAATAAAAGGTGGGTCGCTTCCCCCATTGAGGAACACTTGTTGTGTATGCAGACCAGTTTAACCAGTGGGTCCTTATCTGCCTGGCACAAAGGATATGTGGTTAGTTGGTATATTGCTAACACACAGGCAGCTGGCATCATTTCATCAGCTCACTCATTTAAAACGGGGTCATTTTTGTTATTGTACCAGCTGCTACTGCTGTCAAGGAACAATTATCTTTTTACGGGGAATTAMCCCCTTCCATTGGCTGCTCACGAGAAGAGAGCAGGAAAGGAAAAGGTGCTGGACTCCTGTCAGAACACCTATGCTCCAAACGAGCACTTGTTGCAACCAGCAGGAGATCTGCAGTGACCCACCTTCTTCCTTGGACACGATCTTTGGCAGATTTCATTGGATCATTTTAGAAGAAGCAAGGAATCGTGCTGCTGTTGTGGTCAGCCATCAGCAGTCCCAAAGCAGCTGTTGGTCCACGGACAAAGGACAACTTTTCAGGCTGAACCCCAAGTGATGTGGATGAAATTAATCTCTTTTACCATTTTATTGGAACTGGGTAAGAACATGTCCCTGACAAGGTATGTTGATCAAATGACATGTGATAAAATGGGAAGCTTCAGCAATTTGCTTTTAATTTTTAGTATAATCATGCTTTTAACAGATGAACAGTTCTGTTCTGGTTTACAGCCTTCAGTGGGTCAGAACTGAAATAGCTGACAAGGTACTTCACATCCCAAATCTAGCTTTCCTTAAAACAGTCTTTCTTCTCACTTCTGTCTTGCATATTGTGACTTTGAATAATATTTTTAATTTGTGTCAGTTTCACGAATGCATTTTGACAGCCTGTAAACAGGGCAGTATGTCAGAAATGAAGGCAAATCTGTGCTGCACAGAAGAATTTAAACAAATTGCACATCAGGGTACTGAACCAAGTAACTCTGAAGAGGGAACTGTGTGTCACTGCACATGGCTTAACCAAAGATCTTAGCTCAGCACGCAACCATACTTAAAAAAACGCAAACAACCATCAACATAAACTGAAAGTTACAATACAGAGAGRAGATTATGGGAAACACAGCATCACATGCAACATTGTAGTGGTCTCTGCTACTACGTGCAGTGCCAGTCACCACATTTCAAATAAAGGATATCCCAGACACTTCAAAATTATCTTTATATTTGGCAGAATGACTGCCCCAGGGCACAGACAAACCTACTATTTGGATTGTATCCAGAAACAAAACAGGTTTACTGCGTGATGGGTGAAGTTCATTATCTATCAGCTGCACTACTGTGACAATGTCAATGAAGCTTCTGTTTTCCCATCGTATATGCACAATTAATAGCCAGTGGACAATGGAACAAACAGTGGGATCTGACAGATCCCTGTTTCCACATGGTGCCCTTTACTGGCCACTCGTGCAGGAAACACCCATGTGGCAGGAATCGATACAGGACTGACAAGTGATTTTGGTAATTCAACATTGCAGTAGTCAATTCTAGCAGAAAACTTAAAGCCTTGCTTCTCTGACCAGCTTTACCCGGAGCTCAGGAGACCAAAGGCAAACCAGGGCATTCATCACGCTGTGTTTACTACAGGGCACCTCACAGGCTCTGGACAGACGCGCCCGGGGTCCGGGCAGAGCCAAAATACACCCCAAAACACACCCCAAAACACACGGAGGTGTCCGCGCCCGCCGCGGGATGCCCGGGGGATGCTCAGGGGGTGCTCAGGGGGTGCTCAGGGGGTGCTCAGGGCGGGATCCAGCGCCAGCCAAAGCCGTGCCCGCCGCAGGACCGCAGGGTGTCGGCGCTGCAGGGCCAGCCCCACCGCCCAGCCCCCGCCTCGCTGGAGCCCCGCATCGCCCCGGGAGGCCGCAGCTCCTCCGGGCTCCCCGGCCTCCCCCGGCCCGCCCGCCCCGCTCGGTGCCGCGGGCTGCCCTCACCTGTGTCCCCGGCTGGCCCCGGAGCCAGGGCGGGCTGGCGGCGGCAGGGACGGAGCGCTGCTCCCCGCGGAGCCGGGCTGGGCACGGAGCAGGGCTGGGCACGGAGCTGGGTTGGGCACGGAGCTGGGTTGGGCACGGAGCTGGGTTGGGCACGGAGCCGCTGCCCGGCACGGCCGGCCGGGGATGCGGCGGGGCCCGAGGGGCGGCGGTGGGCGCCCGTCCCTCCCTCGCTCCTTCCCTCCCCGGTGCCTCCCCCGGTGCCTCCCCCGGCCGTGCGGGAGCTGCGGGGCTCCGGGCTGGCCCCCGCCCGGGGAGGGGCAGCGCTGAGGGCGTGGGGAGCCCGGAGGGGCCGGGCTCGGCGGCGAGGCGGATCCCGGGCCGGGCCGGGCCCCTCAGGGCACCCCAGCCGGCACAGAGGGTGCAGGGCCCGGCGCGGTGCCAAGCGCTTGTCCTGCTTGCTTCCCGCTGCTCTGGGGATGGGTCTCGGCGGGATCCAGCACAGATATCTGCCGAGATCCCGCAGCCCCTGTTCTCTCAAATTGATCCTCTAAGCACCGCGCAGTCGTGCCAGGAGCCTGCTCGTGTCCCGGGATATATCCTCACCCAGGCTGGCCCCAGAATGGAGCATTGCCTACGTTCAATATTGGCTCCTGRTAGAGTACAGGTTTCTCAAGGGCTGTTCTCTCTAGCATGTACCTCCGTGTCGATCCAAAACATTGCTCTTCAGGGCTTGTTAGACTCAAACAGCTTGACAAACCATGGATGAAAGATTTTTACAACAGGCAAAGAGCTGCACACACACCTGGATGTGCCAAGCAGACTCGGCTAACACCAACCTGTAGCCTTTAGGACACTGACTCTCTGATTTTCTCTACTTACCTTCTCCTTTTGGGACTGCCTACTTATAAATTCTCCTTTGGTTTCAAGAGATCTCAGTGTTCAGCATGGTTTCCCCARTTGCTGTGTCTGGGATGAAGCAGCTCACATAAAATCTAACCCGCCCACAAAAGCAAAAGAAAAAAAAAAATGCTGGTCACATACATTTGACTGACTATTCAATACCTCAAACCAGAAATGTTATAGTGATCACTGAAGCATGTGATGAGAAAGCTTGTCCCAGCAGCTCCTTACACTCTGCAAGTGAGCTGCTCTGGGATGCAGCAACTCACTTGGGTTCCCTGAGGCACTTTGCCAGCACCCTCTTTTCTTGTTGTGAAGTTCATAAGAAATGTAAACGGGTTACATTAGGGATGATTTGCTCAATCTAGACTAGAATGTCATTTGTTACAAGTTATCTTGAAAATCTGAAAAACTTGTAACTTATTTTGGTGTTACTGTGAAAGAAAAAGCTGTACAATCATTTTACACAAGCCCTATATTCTATAATACCCACTGTCCTTTCTGCAAACTGCAGGGGCAACAGTAAACCTATGAAGCACAACAGGGGTGGCCTGCTGTTAATCCTTTCCATTTATATTGCTGTCTCAGTGAGAAATAGATGAGACATTTATTGCTATGAAGTATTGAGGAGCAGGGGCTTGAAAAGATGAAGATTTAGATTGTACCTTTTTGCTGCTTTCATGTTTTGTAGCAGAATAAAATTGATGGTGTTAAGCATTGCTTTGTTGGTGTTGGGTTTTCTGTTTCTTTTTTTTTTTTTAGATAGAAATCAAACAGGGATTAGAAAATAACAGTGCTTCTGCTTCTTTCATGCCTTGGGAAATACTTCTTTATTTTAAGAATTTTGCTTTTAATTTTGTGAGTAGCCTGCTGAATCGGTAATCTAGAAGATGAACTTCAGCCTGAAACACAACACAGTCTCACTTGCCCACTGTACTTCCAGAAAGAGCRTTTTGTTTGGGGTTGATCCCTTCTTCCCTTCCACTTCAGATAAAAGTTTTTTTATAGTGGGTTTGCGGTTGTTTTTGTGGGTTTTGGCTCATCTAGCACCATGATTAAAAATCAAACAATAAGAAAAACACTGAAACCTAAAGCACATAAATCATCTAACCTCCATTCCTCTCAATGAGGAAGAAAAAAAAAAAAAAAGCAAACATGCTCTGTTTGCTAAAACTTAGAAATAGTGAAAAGTTTTTGTAGGTGTCATGCTGTCTTTGTGGACAAGTCACCCTTCTGCACATAAATACCTCAAGTCTGTGTGTGAATTGGCCTCTTGCACTCTGGGTGAGAGAACAATTTTTGGGACAAAAGCCTCTGTGAGAGGTGGTGCTGCAGTCCTGGGTTGAGGCCGGGATCACAGCAGTGTTTGTTCAGAAGGCAGCAGATAACAAATGATATCCTGCTTTTCTTTCTGTCACCATTTGCCAAAAAAAAATCCTCCTCCTCAGCCTTGTGGGAAAAAAAGCTTCTCATCCAGCTAAAATGATCMCTGGGCAAAGTTCACCACATTGCAGTGCATCTCTTTAAAATTGATTGACAGGGTGAMTGTGACCAGGATGTCCTGAGCAGACTCTTTATATAGATATGACAACAAAGTTTATGGCATCCAAAAGAGGGACTGTAGGAGAGAAATTACATTGCTTCTTAATTCCCTGGCAGGAACCAGTCTTTTCATTGCAGGAAATAATGGAAATTTATTGGCCATCTTCTCCCCAAATAATAAATAAGCCATTGAACACTGCCTCACTCAGTGCCAGTTCACTCACCAGTGTTCCACTCGGCCATAACTTCCTCCTGCYAAGAATGCTCTAACACCTGGAAAGGAAAGCATTACAAAAGCACATCTGCCACTTCAGTTGCTCCAAACCCTCAGTTCCACCACTYTCACTCTGTTTGATGAAGGATGAATACACTGGAGCAGTGCAAAACCCTGCAAGGAAGAGAATGTCTCAGAGCTTTACCTGKCACAGATAATTCTGCCACCTTTGCTGTCTCTTCTGCTTTTTTCATTGCATCGAGAGCAAGCACCAAACTCCTGAATTAATCCTTGCTCATCATCACAAGACACTGAGCATCATTCTGGTATTAGGATTCAGCTGAGATGTAGCACACTTGAAAAGACACTCAAGTTCAGGTATCACATTTCAAAGCATCCTGCTATTGTGGTTACCTTTTTCATGCAAACCTTTTMTGGTTTTGACCCAGGTCTCATCTTTACACTGAAGAAGTTCTCCTGTGGCACTCACTCTCTGTCAAGCCATAAGTTTGAGCAGTCAGGTTAAATAGCCACAGCAGTGCTTCTGAGCTCTCCCTTTTCCTGCCCACTCTCCAGAGAGATCCATCCCAATTCAGCATCACTGGTGGTGGGATATAGTCCGGGACTGTGAAAGGAAAGCTCACCAGGAGGGTCTGAGGTTTATTTACAGGGGTGGAAATAAACCCTTACAAATTCATTTGCACTTCCACTCCCTGTCACTTTGGTCTCTCCAGATTTCTTTTTCCAGCTGCTCATCTCAGTGCTACATTTCAGTTTTCAGCTGGGTGCAGACATCTGGTGGTCGAGCTGGTGATGGCAGCTGAACAAGGGAMGCCAAACAAGGAAGGGGTGCAGGGTCTTTTTTACTTACACTTTGACCTAGTGATAGGAAAACCAAATCTTCTGTGTAGCAGGGATTTCTTTTCAGTTTTGTTCCCCTTCTACCTTGCTGCTCATTTTCTCCCGTGGTCAAGCCTCAGGGTCCTGCTGTTCCTGTTTACTGTGCCCCACAGATTGCAAGTCACTTATGCAATGCAAGTGTGCTCAGAGCTGGGAAGGAGGCTCTTCCAGCAGCACRAGGGACACCTTCCCAAGCAATACCTGCTGCACAGATGCTCACAGAAAAAACAGTGGCTTCATCAGTCCTGCCAGGCACAGATCACTGCATCTCACTCCTCCCTGTGACAGCCAGGAGCAGTTGGGAGCAGGAGCATTTCCAGACAATGTGTGTGGTCCTTCCCAGACCATCTCCATCTGCCCGCAGTCTCCTGCCTCTCTTGGATACATTTTGTGTATGCTTTGGCTGCGCAGTGCAAGAGGAGAAGAGAATTACATGTGAATTTGTTTTAGGACGTGCTGAAGAGCTGCTTCAGGCAAGACACAGATCCTTCAGTGTGTGAWGCCTTTGGAAAGGTATTCAAGCTCTCCCACTGAGATACTGTGCAGGTAGAACACATGTGGAGAGTATTCCACACACTGAAAGGAACATGCAGGATCAAGCACTGCTGCATACTCCATCCCCTAAAGGTGGGATCAACTCTAATTTTACCTTTTCCAGGGAGCCCAGTGAAGAGTGAGATCATCTCACTGAGATGAATGAAGCCCTGGAGGTGCCTGATTCCTTCCAGTATCTCAAACTACATGTGCGACACCCTGGCTTGCAAGTGTGACATCAGGTGAATCTCTCAGTAGACAAAGTTCTTTTGCCCGAAAAGCCCAAGACAAATATAACTTGACACAAAAGACTGATCTCAAGAATGAGCAGACACTCCCTACCTCTGGCTCTGGTCCGTGTCTGTCTCTGTTCAGTGTTTCTTCAAAACTTAATGTGTTTCCAAGACAAGTAATTTCCTCAGCTYCAGACAACTGTTTTAATGCCATTTTGCTTTCAAATATTTGTAGCTGAAAAAGCAGGAGCCCACCTGTTGCCATGAGCTTGTTTATGTAATTTGTTCTACAATCAAGTAAATTCCAAATCGTAGACTAGAGGACTCATCTTACAGGAGGTTGTGGAAGCAATGTGATACCAAACTGATACATGAATGGACTGACAAAAGCAGTGAGGATATGATCGAAATCAACACGGCGAGAGACAGCACTTAGAGCTAATATTTTTACATTTGACCAATGACAAGGCAGGGACAAAGGAAAAAGAGGAGAATACATTTATCCAAAATCATTTTTATATGCTTATTGGGTTCATTCCCCAAGTATTTGAGTATTTGTTTCCAGAAATTAAATATGTGGGTGATGGCAGATGGGAGGCTTGTTGCTTTTCTCTTTTCAAAAACCTA